TTAGTATGACTATTAGGCAAGTAAAACCCATAATGAGATATAGCATCTGAACTGAGTGTGATCACAGAGAACACAACATAGCCTGACAGCTCCTATGGACTCTGCGGAGGAACTGGTAACTCTGTGGATTGTTCAGAATGCCTATGACTTTGAATTCTCCTTTCCCTAAAAATTTAACAGAATTAACTATGAACCAACAAGTTCACACCTCCTCTGTACTGTCTGTTTTTGTACATGTGTATTTGTGTATGGATCTCTGAGTACATGTGTAGAACATATGCATTGAGAACAGAGACTTACAGAGCTCTTTCTACACCGTGTTCACAGAAGCCCTGTCTACAATAGCCAAAAGATGAAGGGCATTCAACTGTATATTGATTAATGATTGTATTTAAAATATGGTTCAAGTATGCCAAAGAATATGATCTAACCTTCAGAATGGCAGGTATAGGTATAGGCTAATGCCTATAATCACAATCAGGAGGATCACAAGTTCAAGGACACCCTGACTGCATAGCTGTTTCCTGACCAGCCTTGCCTACATGAGCAAAAACTTCTCTCAAAAAAAAAAAAATTACAGAAATATATTGTAATGCCTGTGTTACTCTGGGTAGAGTTCATGCACCACTGTACCCAATTGTGAGCCAGGCAAGGGCCTGGAGATGAAAGAACACACAAGAGACCTGGGTCATTTGAGAGGAGATAAGCAGAATGCCGTTTATTCAAGCTTAGGAAAAACCTTATATACCTAGCAGCTGCACAATGTCCTACCCCCTGCCCCCCCCTCTCCGCAGGTGGGAAATTACCATACCCAAGATGGAGTAAACAATGCCCTACAGCTAATCACCAGGGGGGCAGAGGGAGCACAGGAACAAACAGGATGTTTTGCCTGAAAATGCAACAAGATGTCTGGTCAGAAACTGTCCTCAAGATGAACCCAGAGAGGAGGAGTAGACCCTTGGGCCCTACAATATATGTGCGTGTTACAGTATGAGTGAAATGTAAAGGGAGAATACAAATTGAAATACGTGTTTGAAAAAGACAAATACTGTACCATTCTTCTGTTGGATTCCTGTGGAATGCTAATTTCTAGAAGCCAGGGAGAGGACCTGTGGGAACATATTGATGAAGGAGTGTATTAATTCAGTTTTGTAAGATGATAAGATACCCGGTGTCACAATGCCTTGTATGCATTTATGAAACTGAAAAAGTAAATTTTAATAACTTTATTAAATACTTTAAATGAAGCATCTCATTTAAATTGTTTTATTGAGTTTCAGAATTAAAAGTGCTTAAGTTGTTGAGATTTATGTGACATTTTACCCATTAGTCTAGAAACATGATAACTGTACAAAAAAAGTGATAAGATTTTAGCATGATTTCATCACACATGCCAACAAAATATGAAAATTTTGGCTATGGCAGCAAACAAATAATATAACTTTTAATGCTGTTGTGTGAATAGTAACTCAATTTTCTCTTATACTAAAAAATAACTGCTTCATTGTTTGGATTGTTTATAAAAGGTTAAAAGAGGGAAACAAAAGAAAAATTTTTTTTTTTTGGTGGTGTTTCTGAAACCATTTTTCAGATTGAATCGCTTCTGGTGAAAGCACACCAGCATTCCTGATACTCCATGGGATGGAGAAATAGAGACAAATGAAAGACTAGTAAACAGTGGTTTTCTCTCAAGATGTTCACATTGACCTGATACCTAAGCTACAGCATCCACAGTCAAGCCTCAAATTCCAATCTTTCTAAAGTAGGGGTGCCACTCACACATCACTGGGCTCACACAGGACAGCTAAGGTCTGGGTGTGTCCATGCAGAGAGGCAGAGGTGTGGCCGAGTTGGCATCTCAGCCTTGTCATCCGAGGAGCTGGAATTTGGATTTGCAGTCCTGCCGTTGTAGAAACCAGGAAGCAATTCCCAACCTCTCCCTGTTACTAAGCCCTTTGGAGCAGCCTTACCAGAAGAACAAACGTCAGAGCTGGAGAGACAGTGGCAGATGGTCATGTGATGTGACATCATATATTTTACTCTGCTGGTCTGAGGATGGGCATTGCTATGCAGTGACCTGAGCCAGAAGTTGTTATTTATAACTTGAAACATCAGTAATAATGTTCATAGCATAGTTTAAAGGATTTAAAATAACCAATGTGAATATCATTCTAGTTTTTACACTTTTTTATGTGTATGTGTGTGAGTGCCTGTATGTATTTATCTGTTCTATACTCATGCCTGGTACCATGTGTTATTCTTCTGGTCCCTTTAAGGGACAAGCCACACCCACTCCCAGTGACCCCCCAACCCCAACCCCAGCCGCCCCCACCATCTTGAAACTCTCTTACTGGCCCCTCTGGCGTGTCTCTGTCCCCCCTCCTTTCTCTTCCCCTTCTTTCTCTCTGTCTCTCTGTCTCTCTCTCTCTTTATCTCTCTCCCCTCCCTTCTCCTTTTCCCCTCCATAACACCCTAAATAAATATTTAACATGAACATGTTCTGCCTGTCCATGTCTCTGACTCCTGTCCATCCACCCCTGCTGGCTAGTATTTCCTGCCGCCAGCTGTTCCAGACCGCCGGGCACAGACCGCCGGGCACAGACCGCCGGGCACAGACCGCAGGGCACCCACTGTGAGTTCGCCGCCTGCTTGGGTGGCTCTCCTCCCTGCCGTGGGGATTTTTAGAATAAAATCATGGATATCAGAAGAGAGTGTTGACTTCCTGAAGTTATAGAATGTTAGGAGCCATTCAGTGTGGATGCTGAGAACCAAATTTAGGTTCTTTGCAAGAACAGAAAGTGCTCTTAACTAGTGAGCTAAATCTCCAGAAATAAGCATCCTATCTTAAATAGTGAAAAAAATGAAAGTATAAAACTTTGGTCAGGTTGTAAAAGAGTTCATTATTATCTCATGTGCTTGGCATAGCACATGACCCATATCAAAACAAAAAAGTGTGTGAGTAGTACTTCCAAGATGAGCAAAGGTGATAACATTGTGTTACAGTGAAAAGCATATTTGAACTTCAGAAAACAATGTGGTTCAT